TCTCTCTATAAAATTTCTTTTTTGATAGAGCCAGTTGGAACCCTTCCAGCTAAACAGATTTGCTTTGCAAAATATTTTGGGAAAACATCACTATTTCCACAAACTTCCTGCGACCTCCAGGTGGCTGTGGCACTCGAGCTCTGGGTCCATGCCACCAAGGCGGTTTCACTTCTCCTCTTCCCCACTCAGGAGCAATTTGGTAGCTACTGGCATTGAAAGGAGGGGAAAGAAGAAAGAGCATCTCTACCCCTCACCCGGAGCGGGCTCCTGGCATGTGTTCGCCATGTTGGCTGCCCACCCCAGGAGACTGGCGCTGGAGGGGAGCTCCGTCAAAGGGGGTCTCTCCCGGCCGCTATCAGAATGTTTGCGACCTGGCTCGTGGTGAGGAAGCTGTACTCCAGGGCTGGGGAGGAGGACTCCTGCGCATCCAGGAGAAGCACCAGAGCTGGGGAGCTTGGCAGCCCCAGCCGTGCTGACTGGAAATGACGTACCTGCTGCCAGCTCCCGTGCTGCCCACTCTGCCCACGCTGCCTGCCAGTGTGCTGGCGCGACTCACTCCCCACTACGCCGCCCTGGAGTGGTGCCGATAGGAAGGGCGCCAAACTCAGGCAGCACTCGCTCAACATGCCGGGGAGTGTATTTTGGGATGGAGAGGTCAGGTGGTTAATCAAGTGGAAATGGGATGATACACTGTTAAAGTGCCATGTACTCGCTCTGCAAGTGTGCCAGGTTAAGGAAAGACAGAGAGACGCAGACGTGTCCAAAGAGATCATAAAAATGTTGGTATTTAGCATATTGCACAATGGAAAAAGTTGGCGAGACCCTAATCTTGAGATACTGTTTATCTGTTTTGGCAGGGAGCTACGAGCACATCAATCCAGATTCTCGAAAGCGCCTGAAAACTGTGCTTTGCAGCAGCAAAACGGGGAGGCAGAATGACGGCTCCGTTGAAGCCTGCTCTGAAACGCTGCTCTGTCAACACTTCTAACTCTATTAACCTACGGCCTATTAAGCTGATTTAAAAGTGGAAATATTAAAAATTGGGGCAGGATACAGCCATAGTAGGAACAAAGCCATTTTAATTCCCTGGGCTTAAACGCTGCCCTTGACTCCACTCCTGTGTTTCACCGGTTCTTGGGAACCCTGATAAACTTGGGCTGTTTTTGGTGGAACGAGATTACGATAGCAAGGACCTTGAAATGTCTCTTAAACAGAGCGTATTGCACCTGGAGGAAGACAAAAGGCTGGTTTGTAACAAAATAATCTCTCAGTCATTATGTTTCGTGCTAATTCAAAGAGCTGATCTTTAAATGATCTCTCTTGCTTTGCTATTGGTGCTAATTCTGCTGCTTCGCTTAAAGATCTGTCAGCAATTTTATTACAGCCTGTTGTTTCCAGGGACTTTAGATTTGGTCATAAAAGCGTGGTCCCAGCTGAAACTTAACATATAAGGTTACAAAATTTAAAAAAAAAAAAAAAAGGAAAAAAAAGAGGGAAAAAAAGCAAGTGAGCAAACTCAGATATTTTTAAGGCTATAAAAGCATAAAAAGAACCAGAAGCATGTAGCTTAAAGTGATTACAATGCTTATTTGTTTTTCCTAGAAAAGAGAAATATCTTTATTTTATTTATTTTTTTTTAATCTATGTGTAATTAATAAATCACCAGTTGGAAACATTGTTTGGGATAATGTGGAAAAAAAAAATTGAAGTTATTTAATTGCACATGCTTTTGGATTATATTCTTAACCCCACTAGTTAGAAATTTATTTATGCAATTTATTAACTCAGCATTAATGCCTCCAAAAGAATACCTTTTTGGCCTGATGACTTACATATTTAAAATATTTCTATTGGCCCTGAAAAAAATTATTCTGTAAAGGAACCATATCAATTCATATTTATGTAAAACACTTGAATTACACACCTACCTACTCTAGTTAACATTAACCACAGTAAAATTAGTAATTATGTATTTAGTATCAGGTTCAGGCTGGTGTTAGAAAAAACTCAACCATAATATATAGATACATTTGTAGTTACTATATATATAAACTTAAATGCTCATGAATGGTCTTACCTAACCTTTCCTAACCAACAGCTCAGCACAGCTCACATGTCTCTGTCTATTTTCTTTTCACCTCTGTACAAAGGAAGGGGTGAGTTAAGGTTAAAGCATTGGCTGGGTTTGGAGCTTTAACTGAATAGCCTAACTCTGTGCATGTAAGTCAAATCCTTTGACATTATATGCTTGGTGCTGGCACAAAGTAATCTTTCAACTTAAACCATGTGTGATGTGGTAGAAGCTTTTTCTCCCCTTCTGTTCCCCTTTGGTCTGTGAATTGGCTATGGTTAGATCTTTTAAACGAACAGGTGTACTTTCTCCCTCCTTGTGATATGAAAGAAGCATAAAACTCGATTATAGCAATTTATGGTCTCTTAGCTTGCTTGGACTTGTATCCATGACACAAGCGGCTTTATGCTCAAATTCAAGACTCAAATAGGAAGTTAAAATTAACCTCAATCCTTTTATAGATGAAAACCTCAAAAAATAAACAGTGGTTTAGTGGCATGGCAACCTGCCCCTTTAAATCCAAGAACTAGTCCGAGATGTCTATTTTGAGTTAGTTTTGTTTTTTAAAAAAAGATAATTGGACTTGGATGAATAGAAGAGTAGCCTGTGATTCATAGTGGTGTGAGTTAAAGCAAAGTTTAATGCTACTACTTGGAAGTCAGCAATGTATAGGGTTTTATGCCTTATTTTATGCCTATATAAAAAGCACTCTGTGCTTTATTCAGTGAGAGTTTCAAGAGAAGTGTTTCAGGATGCAAAGATGTGCAGATAGGTATAGCAATGCTATGGAGCAAGTCAGAAGTGTTTTGGTTTTGGAGGCCTGTGTTCTGAAATGTAGTGCTGTTTATTAAATATAGAAAAAAAATTAAATATCCCAACTCCCTAGAGGTCACACAGGAGATCAGCCTAAAAAACGATCATACTTCGAACACCAAGGAAAAAATGATGGTGCTGGAGCTCCTTCCCACTTTAGCCCTTTTCCCCCACTGTGATAGCGTGACCCTGAAAAGACGAGCCTTAGGAATTAAAAGGTGTCTGCAGCACAGACAGTCCCAAATGGGGGAGGCTTCAGTTTGGGGCTTATTTTACTGATAGCGACTGCAAGCCTCAACAAGTTGCTCAATGGATAACATGCACATGTTGGAGGCAGAAGGAAAGGGAAACTGGGAGAAAGCAGCCTGATAGGCAAAGAGGAGGGTATCAATGAGGACATGTCAGCACTTCAATTGCTGTAATTTTCTGGGCTGCGTCCACAGGCAAAATGCATTAAAATCTTGTTTGCAAAGAGCAAAGCAGAGCGATGTACTAAAACTATTTCTGGAGAGAGCAGCTGAATCCCCGGATGAGCGTGAAAAGCCTATCGCTCTGAAGTCGTACAGGGACTTTTACGGGGAACCAGGGAAGAGGGATACTCATCGTTAAACCTGATACTCTGCTAAGCATATAGTGTTCCCAAGAAGCTCAAGAATGCAAGTCTGCGACCGATACCTCCACCCACGTAGCCTCTGGCTGCTGAGTAGCCATAATAATATGTGTGTTTTCTTTTATAGGAACGGAACTGTGCGCAGGAGAAACCCAACATGGTTTGCACTGCAAATCAGAAAACTAAGTGAGGGGACTCCCAGGGGCTGGGAGACGTGCAGGACTGGATCCCTCACCTGAGCTGACCTGGCATGGCTCCAGGGAGGGAAGGAGCTGGATGTCCTTCCAACTGTCTTTTTATCCACCTCTTTCTACAAACAGCACATGACAATGTGTTGATTTATTTCCCATTCTTCTCAAAAATGTCTGCTTCTGCTCACAGCAAAGTCAATTGCAGATTTGCAGTAGATTTCACTAAACCAAAGACCTTCCTAGCCCTAGGAATAAAAGGATGTAACAAGCATTTGCCTTAGGTAAGTGATAACCTTTTCTGCATGCAACAAAGAGTATCCTGGTTTTAAAAAGAACTGAAAAAAGAACTTATTCTGATTCATGGTAATTATTTCTCCCCAAAACCCCAGCAGAGAATCTCGACTAAGGCCATTTCATTCTGTCTGGAAGAACAGAGGAAAACTCCATTAGGAACAGACCTCACTAAAACTAACACTGTCCAGCACCCTCCTTTTAGGTGCACCTCACTATGAATCTGCATTTTGACACGCGTTTTGCAGAACACATATCAACTGATGGTTTAGTGACCCGATTCACCGCTCACCAAGTTCCAGCTAATCCGAGGGACAGAGTTGGTTTTAGCAGGGGCAGACTCAGCTCTAATGGTAGAAGATAAGATTTCAAGCTAGATGACTTGGTTTCACTGGCATCATCTGAGCCTGAGCCTCAGAGGAAATCAAACTCCTGAGTCACCATTTTGCAGGTTTTCATTCAAAAAAACCCCACTGGGTAACCACCAGCCACAGAAATACGCTCAAACCAGCCCGCCCATATTAATGTCTTAGCACTAAGAGGTCATCTTCAGGGCACAGAGCACTTTGCAAAGCTTTCTTTGCTGCTGCCTTCCTGGAAAAGGTCAAAGCAAGGCACTGATGGTATTTCTCTCTCATTCAAGCACACAATGTAATTGATAAATATCCATTAGGAAATACACCTACATGTAGAAAAAGGCCTGGCATAATGCATCTCTGCAGGAGAACAATGGCTTTCAAGTGTTACGGTTCTAGCATAGATGAGGTTAACAAACACCATGAGCTGTACTGACATGGGGAAGATGAGACAATATGGACCCCTTAAAATCTGTCAGGTCTTTAGAAATACAGATGTATGTTAAGATGCCCCTCCTTTCACTCTTTAAAGGCTCTCACTCATTAAAGGTGGCCCGAGAGAGTCCAGAAGAGGTGGAGGGACAGGGGGACAGTGTCTGCAAGCCCCCATGCTTCGCAGGCTGACAGGGTGGAGATGGGCGAGCAGGGGGAGAATTTCAGGTACTTACCCTGAATCTGACTCTGAGGCTGAGGGTTAAAAGCAGTGGTGTGGTTCAAGGAGGCTCGTGGGTTGGGTGTGGGGGCTGGGTGGTGTGGGCTGACCCGCATGGCCGTACGACGCAACTGCTCCAGTTCACTCAGGCGCTCTGAAAAGGACAAGCTCCCGGGCTTTGTCTGCTCATCTATTTTCTGACGATGTCCTATTTTGGGAGGGGGGGGAAAAAGATCAGAAAATCTCACTGATACATGAGGTCTGTTGACTTATTTTCTTTTAATTTTTTTTTCTTTTTTTTATCCCCTGATCTACTGGAAAAGTACCTAACCAGCTAGTGGCTGTCTGCAACTAAACTGAAACTACCTCTCTGCAAGAACAGGAGACGCAAGTCATGCATTGTGATAGTATCGTGGGGCAGCCCTAGACATAGCCTACTCTGAAGAACCACACTGAAAATTGAGGTGCCTTCTTACACCTGAGACTGGGAGGGAAGGAGTTTTTAAAAGGAGGACTGTGGGGATGCGTAAAAGGAGGAAACATTGAGTGGCCCCTGTGCTAAACCTGCACTGGAATAACTCCTCAAAAATTCAATCCCAGATTGTCACTAGGTACCATAATTAGACAAGTACTATGGGGCTACAAAATAAAAAACCCAAACAAATCCCATTTTTGGATCCTTATGCAATGGATTTACAGACAGAAATAGGAAAGAAACACAGAAGCTGGCAGAATTGAAACTGGAGTAATGAAGTCTCTCTTAGTGACATTGAGAGCTTCAGAAACGTGAGGTCCCACCAGACATCTGACTGTAAGAGGGTAAATGTTGACATTACAGTATCAGCCAGTGCACAGCAAAGTTGGTCATGGCCGTGTAGGAATTAGAGGGTCCAGCAATCCCCAGGGCAGCCCTTGGAGCACAGTCCCCATGGACATCTAGTGCTGCAGCCCTGCAGGGCTGGGAGAGGACAGGGAAGGTGCTGGAGAGGCCCGGATCCAGCACAGCATCGGGACACATTCAGATTCAGCTGGAAGGGCAGAGACATATCTCATCACGGACAGGACTGGTTTCAAGATAAGTCTTATCTAGCAGCTGTGAGCAAGGACTAAGGTAGTGCATTTTTAACCATTGCCTGTGGCTGCTCTCTGTGCTGGCATCCTTTGTATGTGAACCTGTAACCACAAAGACAGAACACAGAGCACACAAGAGGGATGTCTCATCTGCTGGAGAACTTGCTCTTTGGTAGGCATGATGAAAGCACGAATTTTAAATCCTTTTTTCACCCTCTTAAGAGCTAACCTATTGTCACAACTTTGCAAACTACTTTTGTGTGGTTTCCAGTCTTATGATATGTCCTTCAAAAAGTGAGGTATCTTATCCTGGAAGGCTGCTGACACCACGCTTTGGAGCTGAAATGGAAACCTCCCTAGCAGACTTGTGCTTGGTGAAATGTCTGAAATGGGACAGTTCAGCCATGTTCCCAACCACGTGGAATCAAAACTTTCCTTTGTAATTTTCCCCCTTCCCCCAATAGGGCTTTTTCTTCTTAAAGATCACAGGAAACAACCCTTCAGCAGAAAGCCCAAAAGCAGACTGTCTCTGGCACACAAGTTGTCCTTTCAAAGACGCTGCCTCCAAATGGAGGGCAAGATACCGACTGCAATGTGTCTATGAGGACATACCCTGACCCCACCTGTATTTAGTCAACGGAGTAGGAACCCCAGCTCCAAAAATGTCATTTTCATACCTTCTGCTTGGGGACCTTCTTGTGGAGCAGTGGCTGTCATCATCCCTCCTTTTCCCCCAAACCCAATCCCGCTTCTGCATGTTGCAATTGTCTCAGGAAAACAGCTGCCTCGTGAATCTTACCCCTTCCCCTTCTTCCCATAGGACACTGTTACCCTGACGGGAATGCATGTCAAATTTCTAGCCCAGAGGTCCAACATCTTTTTTTTTCTACTTGTTCCCTTGAAAAAGGTGGCATTATCCTTGGTTTCTGCTGAACACCATAGTTTGCTGCCTATCTGCTCTTGACTGTCATTTTCTTGTGGTGAAGAGTTGCCTTCTGCAGCTTTCTTTGCATCTCCATTCCCCCTGCAAGGAGGTGGCCAGTGCTGTTCCTATGGTGAGTCCTCTCTCAACTCACAGCTACAGCAGCAAAACAGACTCGCACGAAACTCCTGAAAATAATCCACGGTGCCCTATTCCACACATCCCCATAGTATTTAATATATAAACATTCATAAACATCCAGCTTCCAATTTTGTGTATCAGTGAATAAGCAGCAAAAGATCTCTGAAGAGCTCTGTATGCTCCTTACTGTACAGAGCACTCTTTCAAGCCACTCTAGCAGCTCAATCAAGACACAGGACCATTTTATGCACTAAAAGGAAAATGTGCATTTAAAAGCAGTTCCCAGTAGCTGCATTTCTAAAATTAAATTTTATAACTTATATTATGGTTCCAAATCACAGTGGCTTGGCGTTTCTTCCTGTTGCCAGGCCCTTTGGCACAACTTGAACTGTAGCAGATTCCACACTGTGCTGTAAATTATCCCGAGGGGGGGAGGGGGGAAATATTAAAATATAAAAAGTCATACTATATAGTAGCAGTTTCGTCATTAAAGAGACCCACTAGGGCTTCCAAAAACAAACAAAAAAAATAATAAAAGGGAAGTGAGAAGTGAAGAAAGATGAAAAAGGCTTTTATCTGACATTCTGGTTGGTCAAGAGCAAATGCTTCATTTGTCAGCAGTACAAAGCTGGATGCTGCTTCAAGCCTTGGGCTCCTGACCCTGGACTTGAATGCAAACACATGGAGTCATACAACATGTGTAAAATACCTCATATATTTGGATTATTTTAAGCTTCAGCAGGTTGAACCCAGGGTTCACAGAGCCAAGAGCCAGATCCTTCCAAATCCATTCCCCCGATGTAATTTGTTCTTAATTTCAAACTCCACTTAGACTTCTGCTTTTAAGTGCGTGCACCAGTGCCAAGTTTGACCCCCTGCTACCCTACCTTCCCCTCCGACCTCCCTGGTGCTGCCTTCCCAGCATCCGTTTTGCCTGCCTGGTGCAAAACCAAGCATCCTGGCAGTGCAAGCCGGTGTGCTAGCAGCCTTGCACAAAGGTGAGCGGTTCCTCTGAAGCCAACAGGACAAGGGCTGCATTATGGTTACTGAGGAAGGAATTAACTTTCCTGCTTTGGATCTAGCTCAGGCACCAAATTTGTGTCAAGCTGGCACATGACATCAGGTAGGGCAGACAAAACCGAGCTTGCTCTGAAACCACCGAGCAGGAGGCGAGCAGGGCAAATTAACCCAGTCACAGCATCCTCCCGAGGTCACGGCAGGGCACCCTGTTCCCAGGCCAGCTCCCTCCGAGCTGATGGGAGTATCTCTGCCTGTCTCTGCACCGTGCATCCACCAAGTGAAACTTCCAAACCCCCCCACCTAGCTCTGTGCTGTCCCACATCATCCTGCTG